CAGAAAAGCAGTGGAAACAAGAGATCACTTATTTGGGCAATATGAATATACTAAACAAGTTTGGAGTAAAATGTGCAGCTGGATGGAAAAGCAATTTCTGGGATTTGTCAATTGGTAGCAATTCATCCAATGGTCAATCTTATGTGCCAAAGGGAAAACTCAGCATGCTCAGGTCTTTAGAGTGGTTTATGCAGAAGTTGCTTATCACATTTTAATGGAGAGAAACAGACGTATTTTGAACAAAAAAGCAGAGTATGGGAGCATATTACAAAAGAAATAGCTTATGTTGTTAGTGTTAGAGTTACTCCTAAAAATAAGTCGTTTGTGTATAGTTTATGTTTCTAGGTAGTAGAGTCTGAAATGTATATGGAAAGATAGCAGGCTGTGTTAGCTATGCTATAGTTCTGTAAATGCTACTTGGTGATTAATAAAATAAGTTAGTTACTAAAAAAACCACTATCTTCTTGCACAAGTTTTCCACTCGGTTTTGCACTTGTGGACCTTTGGCCCTTCTCTTATTTACCATCACGTCACTCCTTCCATAACATTGACTTGCTTAGGATTTTGCACTTGATTAAGTTGAGTATTTGCTGGTTGATTCATGGTAGTAGTCAATTCGGCAATAGCTTGCCCATGGTCATGCAATTCTTTGTGAAAGTGGATCATATTCGGATCACCTTGTGGAATATTGGCCCGAGATTGCCAAGCCGATGACGTTTCCTCCATTTCATCCAAATCTCACACGCCTCCGCATAAGGCGTAGTCATAAAGTTCCCACCGACAAGTTGATTCACTACACATTGGTTGGTTGTATTAATCCCACGATAGAAGGTTTGTTGAATCATATTTTTTATCATATCGTTGTTAGGACATTCCTTGACCATAGTTCTATAACGCTCCCATATCTCGTGTAGTGGTTTATTAGGCTCTTGCTTGAATGCCAAAATCTCATCTCGAAGTGTAGCCATGTGGCCAGAAGAGAAGAACTTAGCAATAAATAATTTTGCCAACTCATCCCAAGTGTGAATGGAATAGTTCGATAATCGTTCCAACCAATCTAAAACTTTCCCCCGTAGAGAGAACGGAAAAAGCCTTAGCCTCAATGCATCCTCAGAGACATTTTGAGTTGGAGCACCGGTGAAGAAACCCCATTGCTCAAGCAAAGTGAGCATCACATTGGTGATATGGAAGTTGCTCGCCCTAATGCGGGGAGGGACTATTGCACTAGCATATCCTTCATTGGGTAACACCCGGTGTGGAGCCGCTCATGGTGGAGGTGGGGGTGGAGCAGGGACATTGTCATGAGGAACTCGACCTTTTCTATTATCTTGAGGTTCAAGAGGAACCTCCTCAACTTGCTCATCCTCGATGTCCAAATCCCCCAAAGGCATATTTTCGAGATCATTATTTGCCACCATGGTTTTACCTAAAATTGTTTTACACAAGTTAGTAACACGGAAGGAAAAGAAAACATTCCAAAAATAAACCCAAATATATAGCTAACACTGTTTTAACTCCCCAACAACGGCACCAAAAATTGATGACGTCCACAACACACCTCGATAAGAGATATGATACAGTCATATGCAATATAAATTACCCAACTATGAGTGGGGGTCGAATCCACAGGGAGTTATAAGGGGTATTAGGAGTATATACTTGAAGAAAACGAATGGATTAACTAAATTTACACTTTCACAAAGAGTTTTGATTTCTACTTCTACTATTACTCTAATGATTGCAAGCTAAGGAAAATAAACTAGAAATGAACGAATATTTTTGGTGTTTTTCCAAATAGTTTAAAAGCCTAGGGATGTGACCATAACCTAGGTGTTCGCCCAATGGGATAGAGACGTTAATACTTGTTTTGTTGATTGGGGTGTATTATAGCTCTTAACTCTACATTACCCACTCAATACCTCTCGGTCAGAGAGTGATTTTGCCCAATTTGGCTTTCTCAAGTACAAATGGTTATCAAACCAAATATTTGATATGCGCTCAAGTCGGGTTCTTACCATCTCTAATTTTGAACCCTTTAATTAGGCTAATCAATCTCTCAATTAGCCCAATTCCTTGTTAGCCAAGCTATCCTAGACTAGGTCCCTCTTTCTCAAGTAGAGACTAAGTAGAAAAGGCATGAATCAATGTTTACAACCATTGATTCTAAAATTGAATCATGAACTAAGCTAAATAATCAACACACAATAATAAACAAGCATTACATTAAATACCCATAAGGTTTACACACTAGGGTTGGGTCACAACCCTAGTAAGAATCTGGCTACTCATAATGGGAATTAAAGAAAATAAAGAAGAAAAACTAATTAAACTCATAATCAAAGATTAAAATGATGAAATGTGATGTTTAAACACTAAAATAATCACAAACTTCCTAAAATGTCAAAAGGTAACGACTACAGCAACTTTGAACTTCCAAACTTGGCCTAAATTTGTGAAACTCGTCTATTTATAGTGGGCCAAAATTAGCTGGCAAAAATTCCCCTCGAGAGGTTCTGCGGCCGCACAATTCCATGTGCGGTCCGTAGATTTCTTCAGTTGGCATGAGAGTGGATTCTGCAGCCGCACATTTCTAGACTGCGGCTGCAAAGCAACTTCTGCGGCCGCACAATTCTTGTGCGGTTTGCACTTCAACAAGGCGTCAGGACTTGGTCTTCTGCGCACTCTCTAAACTTGAAATTACTTGTTAGTGCAGACCCGGTTTTGCGGCCGCACAGTTCATGTGCGGTCCGCACATTTGTCAAAATCATGTTGGGTTCTATTGCTTGGTTTACAGCCGCAGATGGAATTCTGTGGTCCGCAATTTCTTCTTTGGTCGCAGAAATCCTTCTGCGGACGGCACTTCTTTGCCTCTGCGCCCTTTAATGCCTTGTGCTTCGGAACACTCCTTTTTGAGTCGGATTTCATCATGGGAGCCCAAACTTCCAATATTCCTGCAATTTGCATCATTTCATTAGTTTCGGGAACGTAAATCAATACTTTTGGACTAAAACAAAAGCAAAAAGGTGCTAATAAGTAGTCAAAATTCTCACTTATCAATAAACACACACAAAAAAAAATGAAAAAAAAAACTATTAATTCACGTTTCATGATCCTGAAATGCCAAAAAATAATGTTTGTGTCACGACCCAAAATTCCACCAAGTCATGATGGCACCTAACTCATCCTGCTAGGTAAGCCGACTAACATATGCCACAACCTTAACCGAGAATCATCCAATAATTAATAATATAAAAATACGAAAATCTACAACTATCTCAACGACTGGTAGTAAAAGTCATGAGCAACTAAGAATAAGAATACAACTCAGATATGAAAAAGTTTACATCATCTGTTTGAAATTTATATAAACAAAAATATAAGTCTTAAACTACCATAAACAAGTGGTAGCTTGTATCTGGAACGCTGGTGTATCTTTAATTTTAACATTCCTCGTCCACAATAAAAGCAATGGTGTTACCATGTTTGAAATTCTTCAATAAAATGAACGATATATAATCCATTTTCGAATAAACATTTCATTAAAAAAATCAATAACATCAGTTTCATGATCAATCCATTTAGACTAAAAAAAGGGGGTCGAAGTACCAAGAGGACGCTACTGGACAATAGATCCTGCACTTGTATATGTGAGTTTATGTAGCTGGTAGTTAGACTTCTTATTCTGATATTTATAATGGGTTGTACGTAGTTTTGGAGATTCCTCAAGCCGATTGTTGTATCGCAGGTGAGCTTGGAGAGCAATTCAGCTGAAGCATACAACTGTACCTCAATCTCAAGCTGGTTGGAATCGATTGTACGAATCCATGCTCTATTTTGGCTCATAATAGTTCGATACTCCGTACTCGAGGATTATCTGTTGCTAGGAATTTTCTAATGTACTGAAGAGTACTAGTCCTCTAGTTGGTATCAACTATAATCCTATCTTTTGCTAGATCTGCCTGGATTCATAACATTCTAAATCGAGATAACTTCAGCCAGCGTACAAGGTTATTTTTAACATTCCTATTCCTCCATTCCGTCCAACTAATCACACAGCATAAGCTGCCACGTCAATCCAACTAAATGTTATGAATATAACCCCAATTATTGCATGGCATTTGGCTAATGTTCTATTTATGCTAGTTTTATAATGTGACAAGCCACTCAATATTGTAAAAATTGCACGGGACGTCCTATTTGGTCGCCCCCATTTAACCTATAACCATTTTTTTTAAACTTTTAATTTTTATCCACTTTTTAAACAACTTCAGCACCATTTCTCCTCCTCCTTCTCCTCCTCAAAGTTATATCAATGGACGTTTTTGACGGAATCCAGAGGATGAATGGTTTGCAGAAGTAGCTCAAATTGCTATAGATATGCTAACTAGGAAAACACACGTTGGGAGCGTGGAGAATGTGAGCAGTCCTACAGCATCATCGGTTCTTTCTCATGGAAGTAACTAGTACTGTCAATCCTGAAACAACATTTAGACAGTAATCTGAAAATACTCCATTTACTTGATTTGTTTTCTTAATTACACTCTGGTGTAGCTAAAATCAACTTAGGTTCCTGTCGTTGAACAAAGATGTATTTAATTCTTGAACTTTATAGTAATACTTATATAATTGATCAATACGAATGAATATGTGTCAAGCGCATTCGTGTCTCTAAAATGAAAAACGACACTAGTATGGGTTAAAGGTTATGACTTTCGTTGTTTTGTTTCTGAAGGAGTAAATTGGGGCTGAAGTTCAGCTATCGCCAGTTACAAACAAAAACTTCGCCAGTTACAAACAAAAACTTCGTCAGTTACAAAACAAAAACCACACTTGGTTCAGCACACTTGCTACTTCAGGCCCGTCTACTAGAATGCTGAAGTTTTGCGTGATTGCCTTTGCTACTTCGGCCCCGTAGGCTGAAGTTATGCGAAAAAGCGGGTACGCTTGCAATTTTTTTTCCAAAGCGGGCACAAGTTAAAACGTGACACAAAAAGCGGGTATAGATACAAATGCCCCCTCAATATTGACTATCGTATTAAGCCCAATAAAAAGTTGCCGAACCTCAAGCAATGAGTAGTGAACATACATGTAACAGTTGGAGATCAATTGAGATAAAACTGGACTCGACTCAAACAAGTGACCTGAGTAGCTAACGGAAGTGCTTTCTCTGAGGAACTCAATAAAAACACTTTTATAATCTGGTTCGTAAATGGACAAACTATAATAAAACTATAAAAACTTTAATGTTTTTCACCTTTCCCTAAAGGCTAAAATCAAGGAAGCTTGGACGCAACTCACTGCGTGCCTATTGATTCCCAGACACCTGTGCTGAACCTCCGTTGCCAATAACTGTGCTGAACCTCACCACCTGACAGTTCTGAGATTGCTCAAACTTCCCCTAAAGTTATTGACAGCTGCTTAGAAATACGAGGCTGAAGGAATGTTCCTCTCCGATACAGTTGTAATCACACAGCTGCCAGTGTGCCTTACCTCCCCCTTCCTCAGTTGGGAACAAAGAGTTCTCATTGCCTATGGTGAACCCATGTCAAACTACACGTATGACAATACTTGTTAGGTGAAAGGAATTGGCAACTGCAAAGAAATAGAACCAAAATGAGCAAATAAAGAAAGACGGAATTTTAAATTAACTATACAAAAGGCAAATATAACCGTAATATTTGTCCTATTCTAGAAAGCAAAAACAAAAAAAGATGCGTAGCTGGTAGAGGAAAGGACAGAATTTGAGTTGTCGTACGAGTTGCGGAGCTTGCAATTTACTCCATAAATTTCAACAAAGCTCTCCAGTATCTCAAACAAGACGGATTCATATGGATTGCTTCAAGTATCCATCTTAGAGGACTTGTTGATGGCTCCAGATTGGATGTAGCTCCAGAACCTTCTGTCAGCCGTCTAGCAAGCAAATGCATCTGGAAAAATAGTTCAGCAGGCCTAATCTCTGCAAGAACATAATGAAGCCAAAGCATGAATCGGATAAGCATAACGCAGCATATTGGATTAAGCATAAATTTGGAGTGTTCATTGTTTCCAAGCAGCAGGGAAACAATCCACCAAAGAGTAACAATATGATAATAGCTTCCTGTCTTTTTGCTAGTAACAGTCACGGTACAAATAGGTAGTCCCTGTCAGTTTCAGTCTTGTCAAAAACAAAGAGCCTTGAAGAGCACTATGAGCTACTGAGATATTAAGTGCACCAGAATTAGAAACATGCTTTAATGGAAATGCAAGATATTAAAATGTGTGCGCGCGCATATGTAATGCAGGACAAAATAACTAAGTATAAATAACAACAATATGGGTAGAGCAGTCTGAAAAACTGAAAATAAGTAAAATAAATGAAGTAAATCTCTGCTCAGATGTAAATTTTTTTTACAGGTTAAAATTTAAAAATCTACTCAGATGTAATATGCTATTATAAATTCTTATATTCAAATGCCCTGATCAATTTTTTAATCAATTTTTTTACATATTTATTGTTTTGTACAGTCTTTAGAACAGAACCCACAAACCTCATTTTTTCAAAAGGGCAATTCATTGGCTGGATTGCCCCCAAAAAGAAAAACCATACTGCTTTCACTAAACCTCTGCCTAAGCGAAGCGATGTGCCCAACTTGTGTTGCACCTCGCTTCAGAGCTTCTTAAGTGCACTTTTGACAATACTGATCATTTTACCACAAATTTTGGAAAATGATGCACCCGATATTTCGGTACTTACGGAAGATAGGTTTCTCTTTTCTTTTCTTTTCAGTAGTTGCCATAAAGACAAAAGGGTTTCTCAACTTTCCCAAACATTCTATGTATAAATATCTCTTATTCCGATTTTGCATATCACGTTTGGCAACTAGCTATGTCCAGAAACACAGGGAAATGGAACGGAATTCAAACGAAAGATGCATATATTAGAAAACCTTGACCGAACATTGTGCAAGAAAGTGAAAGTCTCAGATCAGAATTTTCAACCCCAAATGTATGTCCACATCATATTTAAAAAGCATAAAGATTAAGTAGGCTCGCACTCATGGCAAGAATGGACTAAGAGGTCAGCTACCCACTATTAGTGGATACTGCACTCAGTATTGAGTCAAGCAATGTTCTCAACCACAGTCCAAACTTAACTGCTCCGAATAAAACAAAACTGAATTACAAAGGGATCAAATATCAAACCTTGTGGCCAAGATGACCATTCCTCAATGAGGTTTTTTTCCCACTTTGATTCAGAGCCGAGGCTAGCTTCTGCTTGCGCCAGTAGTAGTGAGACAAAGGGTAACGGCATCGAAGAACTATGTTTTGCTTCCTTCAGACTTCTAATAGCAAGTGATAGAAACTCTGAATCGGACTGTTGTCTGGCAATCTCCATGCAAATAGCACCTGAATAATCAAATCTCCATTACCCAATGGGACCATAAATACCATCAGCATTTGATAGAAACACAGAGGGAAAGGCAGGAAACCGGATAGAGGGAAACGAAGTGCAGACCATGGAATGCAACCCCCTGGGCGCTTATGTGGATTCTCAGGAGAGAAATAGAACTTTTGAAAGGGGTGGAATACCCTTTTGTCCAAATGATGGCTCATCATTTGTGAGGGGGTTGTGAATATGCTAGTTCATAAATGGAGAGCAGACTTCTTATGTCTCCAGGAAACAACTTGAAGGGGATTCAGGTTTTTTTGTTAGACATATTTGGGCAAGTAGATGTGGGTCACAAAGCAATGGAGGCCAGTGGCACTAGGGTCTGATTTTGGTTATGTGGGATAGGAGAAATTGGGATTGGGAAATGGTGGCTACGGGGAACACTGTGTCACTATCAAGTTAACTTCTTTGCTACATACTGTTCCTGCTACTTGACAAGTGTGGATGCACCTAATAGTGGCTCCGAAGAAGATCTCTTTAGTGGGAACTTGCTTCTATCATGGGTATTTATAAGGTCCTTGGCGTATTTGTGGTGATTTTAATACCACAACATATGCAGATGAGAAGGAAGGTGGTTGTAGTCGACAAGAAGTATGGTTGATTTCTACTATTAAATTGAAAGTTGGAGTTAATTGATCCTCCTATTTCGGCGGTATTTATGAAGCAGCTTCAAGATTGGACAATGATGAATGGACCTTGGGCCTAACTCAACCCCAAAAGCTAGCTCAAGAAGTGAGGATTATCCAAGTCCATATAAGGAGATCACTCATCCCCTTCATTGTCGATGTCGGACTCAACACCCCCTCTCACGCCCAAGACTGGACATATGGGACATCTGGAGCGTGGACAATTATAGGGCCCAACATCAGAAAATCGGGATAGGTCCTGCTCTGATACCATGATGAATGGACCTTGGGCCTAACTCAACCCCAAAAGCTAGCTCAAGAAGTGAGAATTACCCAAGTCCATATAAGGAGATCACCCATCCCCTTCATTGTAGATGTGGGACTCATCAGACAAGTTCTCGTTTTAGTCTATGGGATGAAGAGTTAAATATGATTAAACAATCGATGTTACCAATAGTATTATCGATTTATCGACATCGGTTTATCGATTTCGATTTCGAAATTTTCCTTATCGAGTTATCGATTTCGATTTTGTCCTCTTCGGTTATCGGTTTATCGATAAACCGATAAGAAATACTAAAAAAAATTAACTTTTTTTTTTTTACCCTTATTCTATAATACCCTTTCCTTTACCCTAAGTCCCTAACCCTATTATTTCATCTACCACAATTAAGGAATGATCATATTTAAAGCTCAAGGGAATGAAGTTCAAATTAATGGAAAATAGAATTAGCCGTGATGATGTATTTTTATTTTTTTTATACCGTTGGAGTGTTGGTGGCATACATTTGATCCCTTACTTTAGTTTCGTTGCATGTGCTTGTTGACACAATTTTTATGTTATAAACGGTGTTCGTCTTATTTTAGCTTCTTTTGGTCCATATTAGTTAGGTGTGTTTATAGCGATATACTTTCTGTGGAATCCCGCAAATTTTCTTATTGGGGCAATCGATAACCGAATCGATAAGCCCCAAAAATCGATAAATCGAAATCGAAAAAATCGAAACCTTATTGAAACGATAACGATAAGCATATGTACAAATCGATAATCGATAAGTAATTATCGATAAGGGTCAAAATCGAATCGATAAATCGAATGCACACCCCTACCCATTATGCTTCTTAGTGGAGATAGGGAAACGACTACTTTCTATTTCAAATTCGAAAATTGGTGGCTAGAAGTTCAACATGCATTCGCAAATTTTATGCCCGCTGTCAGCCTACAACAACTCTCCTCCTTTATCGGGGCATGGGACTGGCAATGTGAGCAAACTCACACAAGTAGAGTTTATAACAGTGGGCAAAACCATAACCAAATAGACTTTATCCTTAAAAGAAGACGTGATGAACGACATGTAAGGACTGTAAAGTTATTTTTAGGAGAAGCAATGACCACCCAACATAGGTTAATGGTCTTAGATGTAAAACTCAAGGGTAGAGTGAAAAAGAAGACGACCTGCAAACAATCACGAATTAGGTGGTGGGCTTTAAAGGACGCTAACTAGTTAGCATTTCAACAAAAACTACGAGAGAAGGGAGCTTGGGACTTAAGTGGGAGGTGGACATCCTAGGAAATGTCAGGTTGCATTAGAAAAAGTAACAATTGAGGTATTACGTTTGTCTAAAGATCTATGACCTCGACCACATGAATCCTAGCGGTGGAGTGAGGAGGTATAAACAGTTATTAGAGCTAAACGAGAGTGGTACAGGAAGTTGTCAAAGGCAAAAAACTAAGAAACCTTTGAGGAATATAAGAGAGCCAAGAGGGAAGCTAAGAAGGCCATAAGTAAGTTCGAGAGAAGCTCTAGATGGCTTGTACCAGAAGCTAGGGACACGAGAAGTGGAGAAAGAAATGTTAAAGATAACACGACTGAAAGAAAAGAAGGGTAAATGTTTAAACCAGGTGAAGTGTATTAAAGATGATTCTCAACAAGTGTTGACAGGAGATACTGAGGTCAAAAAGAGATGGAGAGGCTATTTTGATCAATTGTTCAACTCGAACCAAGAGAATAACATTATGGACCTCCACATGTTTGTGCATAGAGGTAAAGGATGCCATGAAACTTTAGTTACACTCGTAAACTTAGGCCAACAAAGGTAAAAGATGCCATGAAAAATATGAGGATCTAAAAAGCTTGTGGTCCAAATATATCTCCATAGAGGTTTGGAAGTGTCTTGGAGATGTTGGAGTAGAAAGGTTCACCAAGCTATTCAACCTCAGGAAAACAGAACGGTCTATAAACCAAGCAAATCTCAACCAACTTCAATCTTTATCTCAAATATCTCAATGGTCTATGACAAAAAAGGGTCTTGTTCCATCTGGAGAGGCTATTTAACATGCTCCTACATCCTCAAGAAACATAAACAAATAAATGAAAAGTATATCATCTACATGAAACACCAAAAAGTTAATGAAATAGGATCTCCAAGGCAGTGAATGCTATATTAAGATTCCAGATGTTTTGAACAGAAGAACAAATCAGTTCAAGATGTTTTAAAGGGAAGAACAAATCAGTTCAGAGGATTAAGTTAGAGCCTATCATGTTATTTCATTTTTGGTGTGATCCTCACTATAGGATTAGAAGAAGGGCCATACTTTTGGTGTTTTCCTCACTATACAGAAACTCCAGCACTGACATTGTGTTGCTTATAAATATAAAGTTATTACAAGTTATTACCTTTTCAGAAGGAAAGGAAAAAAAAAAGAGGGCTCATCATTTGTTCCTTCTATATTTATGTGAGATTCCAATTTGTATAGACGATTGGCTGTCTTTTGAAGAGAACCATATTTTGGCCTAAGTTCTCTAACTTTTGTCTACCAATTAATTGTATACCAAAGATTTTCTTACAACATCAATACAAGTATTATATTATCAAAAGAAAAAAAGAAATAGAGAGAGGAAGATCCCATTTTACAAGGATATCAAAGCATATAATATTTAAATGTTCATTTCTCAACTTGACCAGTCAAAAAGAAATCACGTGTATTCAATTCTAGAAAGTTAAATTTTCAAAGTATCAGAAATTTGGAATGTCTTCTCTGTTGGCCCAATATATTTGATAGATTTCCCCCATTTCCAATAGTTGGCCATTTAAAATTTGAATCAATTACTTGCAGTTACCACGCAAAGAAAGGGAGTTATAGTTCAGGAAATGTTACCATGGCTGAGAAAAAGGCAACTCTCGCCACCAGCTAACGAGCAAGCTTGCGCAAGTGACTCTTCTGCGTCAATAAATTCCCCATTCAAAACTGCAGTTAGACCTTGAACCAAATTATATATAGCAATCCACATGTTCCACGAAGTCTTTATCTCCTTGCAACACTCTTGAAAGGCCAAGGCTAGTGAACTGGAATCTGAGTGCAGCTTGTATTGACTTTCAAGAAACTTGAGGCAAATCCAACCAATATGATAATCAGTTTTGAGCTCCAAGCACCTAACGTACTCTTCATGAAGCCCAATATAATTACCTTCCACAGCATAGGCACGACACAGTAGCAAGTGTGCAAAGAAGAGATAGTTATCTGAAAGCTGCATCTCTAGAGCACTTTTTGCATGCATAATGCAATTGAAATTATTCCCACATTGCAAACCAACCTCCGCAGCACAAAGCAGAAGCTGGAACTTTTGGTATTGGTATGAAATATCTTCCTTCGCATAAAGCTCATTTTGAAGAGCCACACTTATTAACCGCTCAAGAACAACACACATGTTATGCGGAAATTTCTCCTCCCGCGCCTTTTGCAGATAGTTTAGTATAAGCAGGTAATAGGAAGTATGGTCCCAAGGCTGCTGATGGACACACCTATAAAGATAAACAGTCGAATTAGATGCACGGAACTGCTTTGGCATATATGTCATGGACAAAAATTCCATGTCTTCCTCCATTGCATCAGGAGTATCAGATTCATATATCAATAAAGCAAGCTGCGCATAGTGTATAATAGAAATAAATTTTTATAAATGAAGTCCGGAGCCACGTGGATAAAGAACAGTACTTCTGCAGCAGCTGGATTGTTTTGCACCCCGATGTCAAACTTTCTCTACAGATGAACATGGGTAATGTCTTCTTGCTGCTCCTCACAGTACAGCACGCAACTGCTCCAGCACCAAAAATCTCAACACTGGATTTAACACCTTCCTGCTTCTGATGTTCAGAAGGATCCACTATGAAGCATCGAGCTGAAATGTGAACGTCTTTCCATTCTTCGCTGGATAATAACAGATAACCAAGAAGGTTCCTATTCACCAGAATATTACAGCAAATCAATCAACATTGATCATCATACAAAGAGCAGAAATTGCAACCTTACATATGGTAAGAATTTTCATATAGGGAATAGCAAATCAACAATACATTTGCTAAATTCTATGAAGTATCAAGATCAATATGGCAAGTAATTCAAACGCTAGCCCACGATTGAAATTTACAATTATTGGAGAACAAGAATGAAAATTATGAACAGAACAAATCAATCGTGCAAAATGAGAGAAAACTGACCAACGATATTCAGCAAGAATGCTTGAACATGAAGAACAGGGCAACGATGGGAATATTTTCAAAGGGTGAGGGAATCCACCCCATCCCCATCCCCACCCCCACCCCCCAAGTTAAAAGAAAACCGTGAACAACTGGACATTGTTGTGTAACTTAAGTGAAGCTATGGAAAGATTGAAATCTTTGCAGGAGTTAACTTAGAAACTGACAGGCTGACACCAAGAACCATAACTTTCATAATTTATTTATTTTCTTTTTATAACAATTGTGCATACCGCTAACACGCACCTCGACCAATCGTACCTACCATCTCCCACGAGTAACTCAGTTCATCAAGGCTTAGATAACGGGACGAATTCACCAAGCATTTTTTTGCATCTTGCTGAGATTTGAACCTTGGACTCCCATAGTCCATTTCAATTTCATTGACCGCTAGGCCACACCCTTGTGTGCAAAGCCATAACTTTTTCATAATTTACAGTAATAAGGACGAAGTCTCAACATATTATACAATCAAAAGGTAGAAGCAACTTTGCTGCTTGCAGTTGTGAAAAGTACTCCTTTTTTTTATAACCAAGAAAATCCCGATGGTTAGTGGTACAAGGTTTGAAACTCGATGGAAGATGGGTCCATCCCTCTACTCTTCTCCACTTAAATACCAAGTTTCTGTCTACGGCAGCGCTCGAACTCGTGACATGTGCCTAACCCACACATCACCAATGTGTTTTTATCACTAGACAAAGCCCTGGAGGCCATGAAAAGTACTTTGTTACTTGCCAAATAAAAGGAACACCTTCCGCTAAAAAGGTACTGCCAATAACTTATACTTATAATGTGGAAATATTGCTCCTCCTACAAACCACCATAATGTCTATGAAGGAAGCAATGTAGTTCTTGGATTATTCCTATACCACATATTAATGTGGGAAGTTTTTCCAAAGGCCAGTCTTAAGTTTTAGACATAATAATGGGCACTGTGAAGATCAAGTAGAAACTTTTTCAGAAAATTAGATTTATGGGATAAACATTTTACAAATAGGTCTTTATTCTCCTCCACAACCTCCTCCACCCCTTTTCAATAACAATTTCTCCTCTAACAACTTAAATGACATTAAATTGGAATATTCAAGGTAAGTCTTTGGACTGATTTTACATACCTTGATGCTGAAGTGAAATGGGCATCCAGTTCATGCATGTTTTACATGTCATGTCCAAAATTAAATCTAGTATTAAAGATCCCCTCATTAAAGTATTGGACTTCCTGTCAAGTGTACGATGTCCTACCAGAGCAACGTTATGTATTGCAGTTCTATTCATTTGTATTCAATATTTCTTCTGATTACAAATTTCCGGGTAACTTAAAAACACTGACAAGTCCCAAGGCAGCATAAGTTATTTGGCTTATGTATCTGAGTCAAAAGACTTGGATGTGTACATGCTATAGTCCTTATAGACCAGGCTATTGAAGAGGGTGGATCCGGAATTTCCAAACCTATTAATCTAGATCCTGATAGAGCCAAGAAAGGTCTGCTTGTTACATAGTTAGCAGCTAGGGAAGTAATCTTGACGACAAGAATTTGAGGAGAACGAAAATCAAATAAGTCAGTTGGTTCTACATGTGCAAGTGTTTGGATAGAAAAGTGAACCATCTACTAGTGCATTGCAAGGTGGCCAGTCAACTATGGTGGACAGCCCTGAATTTGTATGCAGTATAGGGAGCAATACTTGAGACAGTGAAGGGGGAATGTATCGTTGGGTATTCATTTGAAGAAGAAACAATGTAAAGCGTGGAATGTCACCCCGCTATCACTTATGTGGGTACTGGGTAGTTTGGAGGAAAACGAACAAAAAGCTTTTGAAGTATTGGAATATGACTTGCACATATTAGGACATCTCTTCTGTTTTTTTTTAGCTTTTTGTTCTTTCCAAGTTCATTTGAGCCCTCTACTAGTAAAAACAGCTGTACTGCTAAAACATGCATGTAACTTGAAAATGATAGTCATTTTGCATCCCTATCTCAGTGAGGAGCATAATTGAGCTCCTTCGAATTGACAGGAGAAACCACTTTAACTCATGCTAGTTTCGTCAAAACACAAACGGACTTGAGCACAACCAATAAAATTCTTCTGGCTAAAACCACAACAAGAAAATCATTTATTTTTCAAAAAAAAAAAGGAAACAGATGCTTTCTAATATAAAAACAGAATCTCACACTTCTTTTCTAACTTCAATCAGGAAGAGCCACCAAAATTGCATCCAAAATTAGCCAACCCTTCAATCTCAAGCAAATCACAATTCAAATAAATGGAGAAAAACATTGACTCCCTTCTGAACTCCCAAGCAAATCACAATTCAAACAAATGTGAAGTGCTACGAACAATCACAATGCACTAGTTCATGCACAGAGTGGGAGAACATGAAAATGTAGCTGCTCAGGTGACCACCTTATCAAATTACTGTTTGGAGAAACATGAAGAGCTCTTCTTAGATAATTGACTCCCTTCTGAACTCCTAAGCAGTTGTTAGATCCATGTTTGACCTAAAACCCCGATAAGAAAATCCTGATTTACACTTAGGGACCCAACATCAAGTCAAAAGAGGCAACTGAAATAGAAGACTTACTAGTAAGCCAAGTGTGGCTAGGAAATCCAGTGCAGCAATCTCTTTGCTAGATGAAAGAGACTCACGAACACTTGAAACAACTGAGTCAAGCTGATGACTTTCATCTAATGCATGAATAGCAGATGCTACAAGCCTAACTTTTGAACTCTCGAATGCTCTTCTGGGCAGTTGCAAAATGTTTCTAATAGCTAATTCCTGCCCTGACATATGATACAGTAATCGACAGATGAAACTGATGGATGCAGCAGCCAACGAATGTTCTGTTGGTAAAGTAGATGAGGCCAGTCTTTTTGCCACTGAAAGAGCAAGGTCATACTTGCCAAGTTTCCAATAAGAAAGCGCATAAAGCTGCAAGCCTTCTACATCCAGAAGACCTAGCGAAAATGGAATTTACAGGTTTAAGAAACCAAACATCGCCATAGCACTCTAGATCGGACGAGAGCAAAAGCATGCAAGCAGGAAAGAGAAACTTCAAAATAAATTTTTATACAAGAAGCTACTCCATGATTTCAGCAAAACCAGCTAAAGTGAACCCTAAGACATACATTTTAATTCATACTCATTATTTGTTCACAGACAAGCAGCACACTAATGCTTCACCATGATAGTTTTTTATTGTTTTCTTCACCAAGATATTTTTCTTTAGCAGAAAGCAGAACAGTAGTTTCTCACTGGGAGCGACTAATGCCGTTATGATCAAGAATCATACCTTTGTTTTCCAAATATTTACATTCTTGGATAGCTGCATCAGCATTTCCTGCCTGTATGGATAGCATTTCAGAACTTGCATAAGATAGAGTTAGTCAAAGCACCCATAAACAGTGAGAAAAAAAAAAGAGTAGCATTGCAAATTGGATCTGAAGTAAAACAATTTGAACCTGAAAAGATGTGATAATGTATATTACCATACAAAGCGACCTGGTCAAATTAATAGATATATCTGCTGGATACGATTTTGAAACTCTTCCTGCAAAAACTCTGGCAGCAAGGCGTGCCAGTCTATACGAGGCAACAGCACTTTCATAATCACCTCGTGCCTCACAAACTAGCCCTTTCAGATTGTGAGATTCAGGATACTGAGGTGCACGCTGCAAAGCCTGTTGGATGGCTCCAAATGCCTGGTATAACAATTATAAAAACTTAGACTCAATGCTATCCAACTACCTTCACAAGGCAAGGATAAGACCTGCGTACACAATACCCTCCCAGATCCCACTTGTGAGATTACATTGGATTTGTTGTTATTGTTGTTGTTATAGACTCAATGCTATCCGACGTACTCCCTTGTCAATTAATCAGAGCCTAAGGCCTCATTTGTTTTTTTTTAAGATTAAGACGTCTGAATCTTAATACACATCTGAATATCAAGATGTGTATTAAGATTAAGACATCTGAATCTGAATACACATCTGAATAGAAATAATTAAGATTGTTTGATTTTTAACATAAAATTTATCTTTATTTGAAAATTAATAAACATAAAATTCAAATGAAATACTAACTAATCTAATATTCTATCAATAAAATATATAATTTTTTAAAATATGATAGTTGTTGGTGGTGATGGCTAACGGGTGAATGCTGACTAGAGGCGGTGGTTGGTGGTAGTTTTGGTTGATGATGGTGGTTCATGCTAGTAGTTAGTAGTGATTAGTAGTGGTGGCGATTATGATTGAGGATGGTGGTGGTGGGTGGTGGTAGTTAATAATGTTGGGTGGTGGTAGTAGTTGTGATTGAGGAAGGTGGTGGGTGGGTGGTGGTAGGTTATAATGATGGGCAGTGCCGGCTGTGGTTGTTGATGGTGATGGGGTGGTCAGTTGTGGTAGTTGAGGCGGATGAGTGTTGATTGTGGGTGAGAACGATGGTGGTCGGAGTGGTGGGGATAGTAGGTGGTGCTGGTCGATAATGGAGGCTATGATTGAGGATGATGGTGGCGTGATGGTAGTGGAGGTGGTGGTGGTGGTGGTGGAGGGGGGTTGTGGTGGTGGTGGTTGAGTATGGTGGTGGTGCTGACATGGTGGTAGTTGATAATGATAGGCGGCAGTTAATAATGAATATGTGATAGCATCTTGATGAAATTAAGTCTCTGTTATAGATCTTAATCATACAGACCTATCAGACCCAGTAAGTGGTTGTGAAGTAAAAAAAAACAAACACACTTAATGATTAATATCTGAATAATTAAGATTCAGACTTTCAAAACAAACGCACTTAATGTCTGACGAATGATTAAGATTCAAACCTCCATTAAGTGCAAACAAATGAGGCCTAAATAGACAAGAATGGATTGTAAACCGAGTGCTTAAGTACCTCTGAAGATCGCAGATAACCAGACTGCAGAGCAAGCTTAACTAGACCAGTTTGGAATTCTGCAAGCTATTCATACACAGGCACGTTAAGAACCTCCAAATTGGACAATGAACAACTGGAAAAAACCATGTACAATTTTCTGATAAAATAACAATTGTATTGATTTGTTGGGAAAATCGCCTGTATATACGTTTGTATCTGAACTCAAAAGTTTGTTTTCAGAAGCATCATGATGCTCACCTGATACAAACTTTAGATACAAAAGCAACATGAAAAACTCCCAGACAAGGTGAAAGTTCAAACATCTTGTTAAAAATTAGTTAAAAGTTCAAAAAATTTCTGAAAACAACACTGAAAGAGAGAAATGTACTGGAAAGATCTGAACCGCCCGAAGACAGCACTCATAAGCCTCGTCTGGTTTCAGATTCCTGTTTAAAAAGCGTATTCAGCTTTATATTTCACGTAAAAGGTGTAAATGCATCATTCTCTATATTCTTTTATATAACATAAAAGAATTTACCTTGCATCAGCATCAGCTGACATGCCTGCCCATGGCAATGAAAGTGAAGGATCAATACTTCTTGCACGATCAAATGCTAGCTGAGCCAATTGACTTTCCCCCTCCAGCCGATAAAGCTATAACTACCCAAACTTTAGACACTCTAATCATCTCACATGGATCAATCAATTTACATAACAACCCCAACCTTAATCGATATGACTTGCAATGCTGAATAGTTCAGCACATTGGAGAAGGAGAAACCCAAAAAAAAAAATAGAAAAAGAGGGAAGCAGGCGAAAAGAAAGAAAAAAAACAAGTGAACAGCCAGAACCAGTTCATTTTTACTTCGTTGTTGCAGATATGAATACAGTAATAATTTCATTGTCAAAAACGATGAATACACTAATAATTTATTGATGTTGTATATGATATGGTTCTATGAATGACAGAGAATCATCAATACTAACAGGAACTTTGTGGATGCTTAAAAAGTTGAAAATTATTTTCAACAGGACAAACTTATTTTCCTCTCTTTCAAATGCTCTCTTTTCCCTCTCCCTCCAAAGTACCCACATAAGGGGACCAACATCTCACGCTCTGCGTATCTATGCAACACGTCTTTCATTGTACTCAAAGTTGATCACTCTATTCCAAACAGGTTTAGTTTTGTCCACAACAATTGCCTTGCAACCTAGCAGTGTACTGGTAAAATGTTTATATCTTCTCCCGCTCTTTTGCACATAAAGCACCAAATAACATACATTACCTTGTTTGCAGACTGTCTGCAATTAGGACCACCCCCCTTGTTGTCATCCATGTGAACAAGCACCTGTCTCGCACTCTAGTAAACTCAACTAATAGATATAGGAAGCACGAGTTCTCTATTTCTAATAACCTAGGGTAGAAGAACTTCACGAGAACATCTCACTTCCCCAACCTCTACATTTTCAGGTGCTCTGCTCCATTTAAGAAATGTTATGTTTGTATAATAGCCCATGTGAAATTCTTTAACCTCCCAGTATCGCAAAATTTTTCCTAAATCTCATATCCCAAGGAGCACCTTCTTGCTTTCTCTACATAACAAATTGTTGTCTCCTCCTAGCTCAATATGTTGTAGTTTGTTGAGAAGGTAACACTTAAACTGATGTCTCTGCACCACCTACGCTTACAATTCCAGCTTCATAATGTTCCTCCATAATCTGTAACCATAAGATAGTGTGATGTTTCCAGTCCTCCACCACCGTTTTGAGTACCATATGTTTCTACTATCAGTCCTTTGAATGTTCTATATTGTTAGAATTCTACATTGGTTGGGGGTATGAGTTGCAGTCTTTTTTTATGGTTTTGAACAATTCTTAACTCATGAGATAACTTCTGCAATTGCGTTAAATCCACGATTCATTTTTCTTAACACAGTATCAAAGCCAGACACATCCTTAATGTTGGCTTATCAAGGTTGAGCCCAACATCCTATGTTATACTATCCAAGCCCCAAATGTCCAGCCCTAGGCATTCGAGGTTGTTAGAGACCTTACATTGGTTGAGAGTATTGGTTGTAATATCATATCATATGGAGCATATTATAAGTGTGAACACTTTTGGTTAAAAGCTGATTTACCACAAGACCCTTTAATAGCTAATATACCATTTTGCTCTTGAGCCAAAAAAAAAACTCACTCTTCAGCTTTTAGCATCAAAGATGGCGGTTAGCTGTGTTATAAATTTAAATAACTTTTGAATCGCGGTTATCGAATTTATTATAACCGTTCTAGCTTTTATGTAGAGGTTATATGAGCTTGTCTGTTACTCTTTTTATGTTCTCTCCTTTTAGCTTCCATCTGTTAAGACTTTTCATATTCTTTATTAGATTCTACAAAATGCATAAGAGCACTTCAAGTCACTCAGCTTTATCTCTTTGTCCTTTGTCAAATTATTATCTGCTTTTTCCTTTAAAATACTCGCTGCTCGGTGTCCTCTCAACACCTTCTGCAAAAAAGGTACACTACTTAATATGTTAATTTCTTCATTTTCAATCTTTCATGTTAGTCTTTTCATTTTCATTGTCTAACGTAATTTTCTTTTTACTTTCTCTTTGAGAACTTTTTATAAGTTAGTACTACTTGACATCTTTCAAGACTACTTTTGTAAATAAGAACCAAAGGAATCTGTGCAGAAAGTAACAAAAATAAAGCATGACCACAAAAACTTTCTTTATTCCCCTTGGTATTATTACAGAAGAAAGTAAAATATATTTTTTTAGAAAGAAGAACTTTTAATTGAAGATACTTCTATTCAGACTCTTTAGATGACTTAACCTTTTCCACTCTTGCCTTTGTTTTTCTTTCTTTACATTTTTCTGCTTTTTCCCCTATGTTTCTCCTAAGATTAGTCAAGGCAGAAGTTTTTGCATATTAACAGTGATTCGAGCTCAATAATTCTTTGTTGGTCCCGGGGAACTTAGAACTGAGGTACTTTGATAAGCATAGAGATGGTATTTAATGGACTATGGACGTCCATTTTACTTGGAAAATGCAGAACACCATAAAAAATGATAGAAACGTGAAAACCACAAAACTTACGACAATTTATAAGGCAATATACCATATTCAAGCTACGCATATCAATGAAAAAATATCATGTGATAATTAGCTTTAACTCCATTCTTTTAGAATGATATTGATTTTTTACTATCTGGTATGGGTGTCAAATTGACAATTTGCTATAAGCCTAAATACTTTTTACACTCCTAATAGGTTACCTGGATTATCTTTTTGAGAAGGAGGTTACCTGGATTATTGTATCACGAAATTGACAAGTCTTATACAGTTTTGTATTTAATAGTTATGCTAATTGTAACTAACAATAGAGTGATACATTTCAGTTGCACTTATATATATACAATGCAACTAATATTCTTGTGTCAAATACACATATGAAAGGCTCATAAGTTTGAATCAGACAGGCAATTATGATTTATATATATCAATTGAATCTTTTGATGTCAGTAACTATCAAGTATCTACTACTTTCATTCCACCACAACTACTTGAAATGTATGCAACTGTAAAAAGGCGAAGGTTACAATTCCTTAAAGACATGGCACAAACTTTAAGACATGAAGCATTTGTAACCATAGCCGACATTGCTCATATTCAAATTTAAACCATGTGTTGCTAAATATCACAAACAAGAAAACCGTTATGTTGAATATTTGATATTCAGTTTGAGCTTGCACTTTCTCCTTTCTAATTCTGTGTAACTCATCGCACACTTATTTTAATATTATTATATCATTTTAAGAAATTTGTACTTATAGCATGGAATACACGTGCAATGCATGTGTTGGAAAACTAATCTGCACATAGTCGTGGGAAACCTTCAAGACTGAGAGCTGACTTTTGGAGTCGAGTCATGTCGAAGGTAAATGTTTCTTAACATTTCTTAGTGAACCTCGAGAGCCACTTCCCAATAAGGCTTTCTTTAACATCCTCAAATCTTGCACCCCACACCCTTCATACTTTATAGCTTGTAGCAACATTCTAGTTCACCAAAAGACATTTTATCCCCTTTTCTATGCCCCACAAGAAATTCCTTTGAAGCCTCTTCAACTTCCCAGTAACGCTTGCCATTGCGAGCATAAAGGACATTTAAATGCTTGGGGTGTTTGAAGGACATTAATCGTTTACTTTTGGGTAGACATGAGGCAATCTTTCCTTATCTCTCAGTTTAGATTCATAGAGTACCGAGAAAGGTGTGCTTCTTCACATGTCTAGCTACAATGGGGGTGATTCTAATGGCTAAGAATTTGAGGAAGAGGAGAGTTACATGTGTCAGTTGGTTTCATGTGCAGGTGCTCGGGCGAAGATGTAGATTGCCATCTTTTATATTGTCAGATTGCATTTGTTTGTGGTGTGAAGTGTTAGGGTTGGTTTGGACTTCAGTGGGTGACGTCAGGCACAATAAAAGAAGTATTGTTCAGCTGGACATTCAGAAGGAGGAGAAGAAGACGCAAACCTTGGGATGTCACTCCACTTGCAATCATGTGGATCATTTGGAGAGAGAAATAGAAGAGCTTTTGATGGAAGTGAATCATTTGGAGAGAGAAATAGAAGAGCTTTTGATGGAATAGAAAAGGACTTTATACATTTGAGGAGTAGCATGTTTTCTCTTATTATGTTGTGGTGTACCCATGAGATTTCTTTAATCATAGAAGATTGGGTGTCCTTCGTACATACGAACTAAGCATGATATTTCAGTAGAGAAAGGTAAAGGGGCGGGCCCATCACCGCCGAGTTCCGAAGGTTACAGTTGGTGGCAATCACGGTTTTATATTATTTTAACTAACAATAATTAGGGATGACAAAATTTATTGAACTAATCACCAAATCGTTCATTATGGTCTTTCCTATTACATTAGTATCAACATTATAAAGTATAATCGCATTACGTGTTGCTCATGTGATAACAAATATCTTAGACTTAGTCTAAACAACTGCTGGAATAATAAACCCATTGTTGACCATTCATGACAAACTTTAACCTTACACGTTATTTGCATGATCGATAGACAAACGAAAACAAAAAACAAAAACAAAAACATGCGGGACTTGAAATCAGACATCGAAACTGATAATTCATGATCTTGGTTTTCTTGGGATAGGATCCTCGCTTAGGGAAAGAGAGCAAGCCCATTTCGACATGGATGCCTCTTTTAGCGAGTCCACTAAAATTTCGGGTTGTGATCCACCCAAATACCTAGTTGGACATCTTCTGCCCAACTATTGAAAACAAAAATGGAATGACAGTTACTTTCAATGATCGTTGACACCCATGGGCAATCACGGTGGAGAACTGGAGCTTTGACGACACAGATAAGTGAAACTTTGGATAACAGCTTTGAGGTGGAAATAGTGCTTAATATTTATCCATAAATCAGCAATATTTAGGGAAAAGAAACGTGGCTAGCAAGTCCAAAAAGAGCAATGGAATTAGAAATGTAATAAAGTGAAGTTTTGGGCAAATCAAAAATGTTATGTGATGGTTTAATATCTCTTTGAATTAGAACTCAAAACTGAATTTTTTGGGAAGAATAGTCATGCGAGGTGTCTCAGAAGAGGGAATTGATACAAACTTTGCACATGAAATCCAATAGACCAAGTTCCCTCCTTTGCTGGAACATTGACAAAGGGAGAAAGAGCACCTTTCAAGTCTGAAAGGTATTCTTTATTTAGCAGCATATAAGTGCTTCACATGTACATATATAATGATATAATAATAAGGGGCCAGCCAAATGTTATGGTGTATAGCTGATGGTGACAGGAAGGGTATTTGAGGGGAGTCAAAATTGGGTTTGCAAATAAAACCATTCTGCTTGGTCTTCTTTGAGGCAGTGAAAGAGAATGGGGGAAATAAGTGCTACAGCTTCTCCACTGGAGCAGCTACAGAATTTTTGGGGGGAAAGAGGAAAGCCTAAATCTAAATAAAGCTATACAAATTAAGACGTGCTCAACAACCCCAAAAAACAGCCAGTAATCTCTAATCTCCATTCATAGTAATCCATGTGCTCTCTTTGAGATGGGTATCAGTATCAATATTTAAGATTCAAGGGAAATACTTCAGCTTAGATGATTATATTATACCATGGGTTAGATTTGAACTTGGAAATTCATGGGTTTGAGCCCTAAACCACCAAATTAAGAAATTGAGGAATTGATCCGCTTTTAAGATTTCAATGAGGAAACTAATTGCACGCTCAAACTAAATTTTCTAACAGTTCATGCAGAAAAGGAATGATTTTTTTCAGGCAAATTGCTCTTGTTAGTCTGGTGTTTCCCATACTAGTCTGGTGTTCTATTATTGTAAGATTTCTATTACTATGTATTGCTCATTTCGCTTTGTTTTCTTATTATCTTGTTGTTGTTAATGCTTGTGCTACTGCTTTCTTTTCATCTTTCCTTGAGCTGAGGGTCTATCGAAAACCACCTCTCTACCTTCAAGGTAGGGGTAAGGTCTGCGTACCCCCACTACCCTCCCCAAACCCCACTTGTGGGATTATACTGGGTTTGTTGTTGTTGTTGACTCTTGTGATTGAATATCTTATCATAAACCGATTCACATATATTTGGGCAACCTCCACGAGTTGTTCTCAAGATCGGAGGAAGAAGTGCTGTCCAAATTCTATGGATTCTAGCATCGATATTCAATAAATGGATCAGTAATTAAGTGATCCATGATACAAATCCATCAATCACTTATTGTTACCAAAGAATCTTCAAGCAGCAATATAGAGAAAAAGATTAATTACTCTACTAAAATATTTAGTTTCTTCAGTTATCCTCTTATCTCTTATTCCTCCTAAACTCTGACAGCTTTGAGAGATAAATGAAACAGATAATATTGGAAACTAATGCATTATGTTACCTTTCCAAGATGTGCCCATGCAACTGCAAGAGAAACATCCAACTGCAGCGCCCGTATGAAAGCATGTTGTTTCAATGCAGAATGATCAGATAAACATCCTAAGGCTACCCAAAATTCGCTATTGCAACCTTCAAGTAATAAGCCTCCAAGGCACATCTTTTCAGACACAAACCTGTTGAATGAGCTAGTGTCTTTAAAAGATTATGCTAGTACAAATGCAATTATACATTAAGCAATAAAACAAAACATATACCAAGAGTTAATGTCATCTTTACAGTTCTCCTTTAACGATAAAAGAAGCTCAGATGCAATGGCAACATCAGTATACACATTAGCTTGCCAAGGGGACAAATGCAAAGCCCGCTGGTAGGAGCGACAAGCAGATCTGGCTGCTAAGCAGCAGTTTCTCCTCCATGACAGGATTGAACTACTGAATGATTTTTCATCAGCTCCTGATCCCAATCTTTCATCCATCCATGGAAAACATTTTGCGTATATGAGCTAACAAAGGAAAGAAGCAGCACCATTGTCAACCAGTCAACACCAAAGCATCAATGTAGTAAAGTAATTGATGGGGGTAGGCTTGACATACTCCATATGATACTGTAGGAAGGCATGAAGGGTTGGGAAATGGAAGAGTGCAGAAAATTGCACGATTATGCAAAGAAAAAAAAATTCACGGGACGCTACCTGAATATCTCCATGCAGCTTCCAAGAACAAGACACATTGCCAACAATGGAAGTACTTGCTAGAGCCACTTTCGAGGCTTCCTGAAATTAAGAAAATCGCTTGAAAAAAATCTCAACCAAAAGAATAAGGGAGAAGGAATAGAATAAGTATGTCCTTCTGCACCATAGTACAACAGAAGCAGGTGAAACTTCAATTACTGGATCACTAACCTCTAAGAGCGAAGCTCCCCATTTGAAGGCACCAGAATCAATAGATTCCTTTGCCAAACTAAGGAGTGCAGAGGCAAGCCCATGATGCGCAGACAAATTCAGAGGTGAGATTAGTAAAGCTTGCCGAAACTGCTCTATTCCCTTCATTCAGGATGGAAGAGTAAAGAAAGAAATATTAAAAGAATCCGAATATCTTTTATAGGTATGACCGCGCTGAATTATCATGAGATCTTTTATGCTACTCACTGTAACTCATTGAGGCTGAGCCTAAAAAAGGCTTATGCAAGTACTCGCTCATATGAGCTCATAGACATATAGCCTTACTCTGACAGAAATTTTCTTTTTCTTTCACCAGGAGAAGTTTTTTTCTTTTAGTGGGAGAATTTTTCTTTTTTTTTAATAAGTACAAAAAACCTTTGCCTATTTTTTTTTTTTTTTTTTTTTGATTTGCACCGGGTGTCCGAGTCTCTATGAGCCCCGACTAATCCCGGGGGTGCACAGGCCCTCGGCAAGGAGTTTCCCGCAAGTGCACCACGGTTAATTCAGGTTTTACCCAGTCCGATGGCCCTCAGAAATTGTTTGCACCCAGTGGGTTTCGAACTTGAGACCTTGAAAGGGAGCATACCCCAAGGCTCAAGTCAATTGCCACCAGGCCAAACCCTGAGGGTTTAACCTTTGCCTATCCTTACATGACTTTCTTTGGAAAAATAATACGTGCTGCGATATTTCCTAGAGACACAAAGCAGACAACCTGATAATTTGCGTTCAGGCAACAGTCTACTAAACCAGCCTATGTTTAGGAGTACCAATCCAATCCCACAATTAAACTACATATATCATGCTTGTTAATAATTGCATAAAATGGAGCATGGTCCAGACGAGGAGAAATTTTACCTTTCGAAACGAACCAAGCATCAAATGGACATTTCCACTTTCCACCAATGCAAATACTCTTGATTCCTCCAATTCAATAGCTCTTGCATAGGACTGTTATAATGAGAAGACATGATTGAGCAACGAGTAACAGACATCAAAGGGATGTACTATCATTGTGACACAATGCAATAAACTATTCAAACATCTTATTCCATTCAAACTATTTTTAATACATACATCTATGGATCTATAATCCAAAGCTTTGAAACAGTAAACTATAAACAAAGTGTAATATTAGCATATTTACAGATGTCCATATCCTTTACGACATGCCATCCTTCTTTATTGGGAAAAAAAGGTCACTCACTCTCCTTAAGTATGTACTTCAACTGGATGTTTCCATAGATGAACTAATCATCCCACCCCACCCCCCACCCCCCATCTCGCGGATTTTTAACTTCTCTAACTGCCCCTTGTGAACTAAAACAAAGGTAATTACCTTAACAGCGGCTGTAAACATGCCCATTTGCTGGTAGGAAAGACCCAGAGCCTGGATAAGTGCAAGATGGACAAAGACACTGAGAGACTCCATGACGGAATAAACTACACAGCAACAAAAAAAATCGCATGAGAAACAAAAGAGGAAAAATAACCTCCCACAAATCAGCACATGTGGGATAGCCTCTAATGGCTTGCTGAAGACTCTGCACTGCTTCGGACCACTTCTTTTGGTTGACCTAACCAAGGGTAGGGGAATTGTTTCAGGGAACCGAACCCTATAATGTACAAGTAGAAGTAGAAGATTAGGATGAGGAGCAATAACCAAAAGGTAACCCAATCTGCATAAAGCCCAAAAGGCCCTGGGTGACTTCTCTGAAGCTTCGCGGCATACCGCTATCTCCAAGCTCTCTTTTCCACTTCCATCCAGTATATTACATATTTCTTCCTGATAGAGAGAGGAAGAAAAATCAATGTGATTCTGTTGTGAGTAAGAAAATGTAATTTAGCAAAGAAATATGCGGCAAACCCCTGCAATTGAATCATCGGGATTAAGGTTGACGGCTCTCTGATAACACTTGAGAGCCCTCTGAGAGTCGACAGCCACTCGAGCATAGTAATGCCCCAAATATCTGAAAGCAGCACCGTTTTGTGGGTTAAGCTTCGCCGCTATGAGAAAATGCTGAGCTGCTTTTTCCTGAATGTCTCCTCCCTTGTCCCATAACAAGACCCCGAGATCAAAGTGGAGCGAAGGATTGTCCACAACTGCTTCTTCTAACCGTCTTATAGCATCGTCTTCTTCACTCTGACAGTTAAAAGCTTAAGGACAGATTCAGTCACTGACGTCGTTAAAAACATACTAAAATATATGAAAGGGTTGAAAGGAAGAACCATTTTCAGGGCACTCGAAGCTCCGTGATTACAGAACGAAACCCTCGAAGAGGAGACGGCGCTTAGCCGGCACTACAGCTTCCGGTTTTAGTAGTCTCACTTCCGACGAAGAAACCTCCGTTTATGTTCTCTTATACAATCCAGCTTTAATATTTCTTCTTTTTTCTCCCTGTTTACTTTCACTTTTTTTTTTTTCCCGGTTATGGGAGAATCACAAATACACATAGTCGCTTGATAAGCAGGTTAGTGTTATAAATATATTATATTATGGATATGTTTATCTATTTAGTACTCTATTGGAAATAAGATTCCTGAAGAAGCTTATCATTTCGGTACCCGATTATGGATAAACATTACCTCCGATAGAAGATTATCCATACCGGGTATAATAAGCTTATCCTTTCGATACTCTGTTATGGATAAACATTACCCCTGGTAGAAGATTATCCATACCGGGTATAATAAGCTTATACTTTCGATACTCCGTTATGGATAAACATTACCCCCAGTAGAAGATTATTCATACAGGGTACAATGAGCTTATCCTTTCAGTACTCCGTTATGGATAAACATTACTCTCAGTAGAAGATTATCCCTATCTGGTATAGTAGCAGCTTGCAGTAGTAGCTTACACAGCAGCTTCCTTTATTCTATAAATAGAAGAAATTTCAGTTCATTATGTACATCAGTTTGAATTCGAATAATATATCAGTTTCTCTTTACACTTGTCTTTACTTTACAGTCTTTATTTTATAACACGTTATCAGCACGAGACTCTACCATCTCGAGTATTATTGAAAGTATCTGAGGTACGAACTTTCTTTTTCTATATAATATAATGTCAAATCTTTCTAAACTTGAATTTGTAGCCCTGGATATATCGGGCAAAAGCTACATATCTTGGGTGCTTGATGCTGAAATTCATCTTGATGCGATAGGTTTGGCAGACACCATCAAAGACAAAAATCAGGCATCAAACCAAAACCGTGCCAAAGCAATGATATTCCTACGCTATCACCTTGATGAGGGCCTAAAAATGGAATATCTTACTGTTAGAGATCCAGTCATACTATGGAATAATTTGAAAGATAGATATGACCACCTGAAGATGGTCGTTCTTCCACAGGCACGATATGATTGGAGTTGGACTCATCTAAGGCTACAAGATTTTAAATCTATCAGTGAGTATAATTCTGCTATTTTCGAAATTATTTCACAATTGAAATTATGTGGTGATAATATTACTGATCGTGATATGTTGGAGAAAACTTTCACCACTTTTCATGCCTCGAATATGCTCCTGCAGCAGCAATATCGAGAGATGGGATTTAAAAAGTATTCTGAACTTATCTCACATCTTCTTGTAGCCGAGCAACATAATAGGTTGTTAATGAAAACCCATGAAAGCCGACCTACTGGTTCTTGCCCATTCCCTGAAGTGAATGAGACGAACTTCCACCAAGCTAAACGTGGAAGAGGTCGTGGCCCCAGTCGTGGTCATGGCCGTGGTCGGGGAAGAAACTCTAATCATGGTAATAATAATGCACCAAAGAACTCTTCTCACCACCAGCAGTGGAAAAGGAAGGAACAAAAGCATGAAGCGGTGCAAGCACCAAATGCAGAAAATGCATGCTACAGATGTGGAGGAAAAGGGCACTGGTCACGTACCTGTCGTACGCCAAAGCACCTGGTTGAGCTTTATCAAGCCTCCCTGAAGAAGACAGAGAAAAATTTGAAGCAAATTTTATTTCTGAAGATAATTTAGACTTCATGCATTTGGATGTAGCTGATTACTTTGTACTCCCATAAGGAGAAACAAGTCATGTAATCGGTAGTGGATCTGTAGAAATGTAAATATTTTAATTTTTGTTGTTTGTAATAAATAGTATAGTTATGTAATTGTTGTACATAAATAAAAGTTATGCTTTGACAATGATGTTTACTATAATATATTTTATTTATGTCATTTTGAAGAATATGGATAATCCTCAAATTATGTTTGGATCAAAGACAAATCATGAAGATATTTGTGTTATTGATAGTGGAACAACTCATGCCATATTCAAGGATCGGAAACATTTTTCTTATTTGCATAAGGATAAAGCAAATGTTTCGACAATTTCTGGTAATATAAGTTTGATTGAAGTTCCGGAAGAGCCATTATATTTCTGTCTAAGGGAACAAAACTTATTATAGACAATGCATTGTTCTCCTCCAAGTCCCGAAGAAACTTGTTGAGTTTTATAGATATCCGCCGAAATGGGTATCATGTTGAGACAATAGATGAAATGAACACGAAATATCTTTGTATTACAAAGAATACTTCTGGCCAGAAATGCATTGTAGAAAAGTTATCAATTTTATCTTCTGACTTATACTATTCAAAAATTAGTACAATTGAAGCACACCTATCGTAAACCAGAAGTTTACGGATTCAAATACTTTTGTGCTTTGGCATGGCTGTTTGAGCCATCCTGGATCAATAATGATGAGACGAATTACTGAAAATTCGAGTGGGCATCCATTAAAGAACCTGAAGATTCTTACAAATGACGAATTTTCTTGTGATGCTTGTTATCAAGGCAAAATGATCACTAGACATCGCCAATGAAGGTTGGCATTGAATCCCCTACCTTTTTAGAGCGTATACATGGGGATATATGTGGACATATTCACCCACCAAGTGGGTTGTTTAGATATTTTATGGTCTTAATAGATGCATCTTCAAGATGGTCTCATGTGTTGTCACGACCCCGGTTCGCCCTCCGTGACCCATCGTGACGGCACCTAGTCTCTATGACTAGGTAAGCCTAACAATGCGGAATATAAACAATAATTGCTGAAGAAATAACTAAAACCGGAATAATAAAAATAAACAGTGTTTAAGGTGCCGCTCGGCACATACTATAATAACTCTCGAAGCTAACAAAATTCCCAAAACCCGGAATCTCACAAATCACAAGCTATGAGATACATAAGAAGCTCTAACTCCGAAAATATCTAAACAAGGGATAATACTGAAAGGGCTATACTTATTACAGAAGATAGAAAGGGACTCCTCGTTCTGCGGACGTAGCAGATATACCTCGAAGTCTCTATAGGACGCCTCCTCCCAAGGGTGATAGAACTGAGTGGAAAATACCTGGATCTGCACAACAAAAATGTACAGAAGAGTAATATGAGCACACCACAGCGGTGCCCAGTAAGTATCAAGACTAACCTCGGTGGAGTAGTGACGAGGAACAGTCGAGACACCTACCGATCTAATAAACAGTGCAAAGGTNTTACTCGAGCCATCCTCGATCTCAATCTCCGTAAGCCATAACTGATCCACCCGTACGCCTCAAACTGGAACCGTCATAGCACATAACCGTGCAACCAACTAATCATTAGCAGACTCCCCCACTTGGCTCGAAACCATAGATCAGAACACACACAATAACTCATAACGCATATACTCTATTGCTGCCAGAGTACCATAGTGAGATTAAACTCAATCCTTCATAAGCTAGTGAAACATAGACCATCTGATACTTTAAATCTTCCGCAAATCTCGCATTCACTCTCATAGTAGTTAAACCCACTCTATTAAGCGACCCAAATTTAAATTTCAACACATATATTTCACATGTAAATGAGATTTTCTAACAGACAGCATAAGGATCACACAGCCTCAGAACGCTCCGCAGGAGATAACCCACTTGTTTCGCCTCCAACTAATATTCTGTATACCTTCCACCGTCATAAACATTATGCAGTCGCTTAGTCTTCCTGAGGCTGAACTCATACCGCAATCATGAAATTTACTTCACTCCCAACTAGGAAACATGAAAAGATTCTTCACGCACCCATAACTCGGGGCCATACCTCAAATCAAGATGAACATCCCGGACCTAATAGTTCTTCTATCCTCCAGCAGACCCTTCTCGTTGCTCCTAAATCATATGAATACATCTCACAGTCACATCACACTCATCACGTAGCTATCCAGTCATTACTTCCCTTAATAGGGACACAACAGCACATATAGATCGAGGAACACGCGCCCACGCAATCAACAGCTCGGGGCTCAAGCTATAGGAAAAAATCTAGCCTCAAGTCTTCCAGACTGGCCAAACATCAACACACAGAGATCACATCTCGCACCTCGATCAGGGAATCACAAGCCATCGATGCACATCTGATACCGAGCGCTCGTTCGCGCACACAAATGCGTGGAAGGATTTCAAAGATTTATATTTCAAGCTGAATTAAGGACGCACGATAAGAATTTCAAGAATGTGAAGTTTTTCCTAAAGGTTCTGCAGCCTCTCGAGGATAAAAACAGACGTCTCCGTACTGATTCGCGAGACTCTACTATCCTGCTCATGACTCGTGAGACCTATGTAACCTAGGCTCTGATACCAACTTGTCACGAGCTTAAACCCAGACCCGGTCGTGATGGCGCCTCTCGTGAAGACAAGGCCAGCCGACACATTTCCAATTCGAATTTAAATAGCTAAACAGCAATAAAACAGGCTAAAACATGATTTAATAATACTAAGTAGCAGATAATATCCTCACAACACAGGCCCTCGGCCTTACTCAGTCAAAATCACATAAGCCTCTCGGGAAATAGTAAAACAGTGTTTCTCAGCCCAAAACATCATTTAAATATTCATTTGAGTATTAAAACTGAGTGAACATGGCTGAGTTTTGAAAAGAGTGGAAAATAACATGACTGAGTTCAAGTATAAAGTCAAAACAGTGAGAAAATATCAACAAAAATCCTCGAAGGGTTCAAATAATTGGCACGAAGCCCAAATATGGCATTCGGCCCAAATAATAATAATAGCAAACAGATTTCAGTCAAATACGCGGAAAAATCATCAATCGGGACGGACCAAATCACAATCCCCAATAGTGCACGACCCTACGCTCATCATCAAGTGTGTGCATCACCTTAATATAGCACTACGATGTGCAATCTGGGGTTTCAAACCCTCAGAACATCATTTACAATCATTACTCACCTCGAACCGGTCAAATCTCTAGCTCGCGATGCCTTTGCCCCTCGAATTGGCCTCCACTCGCGTCGAATCTATCCACAATCAGAACGAGGACATCAAAATAGGCTAAGGGAACGAAGCCCAAGCGAAAATAATCAACAGTTAGCACAAATCCCGAAATTACCAAAACCCGACCCCCGGGCCCACATCTCGAAATCCGAGAAAATTAACATCAATGGAATCCTCATCCTCTCACGAGTTCATACATATCAAATTTACCAAAATCCGACCTCATATGGTCACTCAAATCCTAAAAATTCACTCTCCAATTTCAAGCCCTAAATTCCCAACTCTTCCTCTAATTTCCCACAAATTTTCATGATTTAACAATGATATAATCACCATAAACATAAGGTATAAAGCCCAAGTAGCTAACCTCTGTGGATACACTTCATCCCCACTTGAAATCACAGCTTGGAGCTCCAAAATCGCACAAAAATGGTGAACAAAAGACTGAAAATCGCGAAGGGGCATTTTTGTACATTCTGCCCAGCACTTCCGCATCTGCGGCACAATACCCGCTTTTGCGGTACCGCATATGCGGTCTTACCTCCGCTTCTGTGGAAATCACTTACCAGCCAAAATTCCGCATATGCGGTCATCCTTCCGCATCTGCGACTCCGCAGATGCGGTCCACATAGCCGCTTCTGCGGTTCCTGCCCCTCAAGCCTTTTTTCGCTTCTGCGACCAATCAACCGCACATGCGGCGCCACACCTGTGGTCCCCAATCCGCAGGTGCAAAAATACCAGAAGCAGCAAATTCAGCAGCTGCAACAAAATCCAAACTTCTCCGTTAACCATCCGAAATCACCCCGAGGCCCCCGGGACCTCAACCAAAAGCACGAACATATTCTAATACCTTATTCAAACTTGTTCCAATCATCAAAACGCCTCAAACAACATCAAATCACCCAAAACACATCGGATTCAAGCCAAAATTTCTAAAATCTTCCGAATTTCGCTTTTGATCAAAACCCAACCAAACCACGTCCGAATAATCTGAAATTTTGCACACACATCCCAAATGACACCATGAAGCTACTTCCACTCTCGAAATTCCATTCCGACCCTTATATCAAAATCTCGCCTACCAACCGAAAATCACCAAAATCTCTATTTCGCCAATTGAAGCCTAACCCTTCCACGGACTTCCAAAATGCATTCCAATCACGCTCCTAAGTACCAAATCACCTAACGGAGCTAACCAAATCATAAAAATTCTGATCCGGGATCATATACAAGCAAGTCAAATATTGGTCAAACCTTTTGAATTTCAAGCTTCAAATTGGGAACTGTTCTTCCAAATTCATTCCGATTACCCTGAAAACCAAAACCAACAATTTACATGAGTCGTAATACATCACACGGGGCAAGTCATGCCCGGTAACTGACGAACAAAGTGTAAAAGCTCAAAACGACCGTTCGGGTCGTTACAACTTACTGTTGGGTTCGAACTCTGCTTCGCCGGATTCAATGGAGGGTCACTGAAGCTACACGTTTTCCGGCGAGCTGGGTTTGGCCGTGCTGCTGGTGATGGCTGCTGATGGGTGTCCAGGTTCGAACGAAAAAGAAGAGGCTGAAGGGTCGTGGCTGACGAGGTGAAGAAGCCGCTGGAAATTTTTGATCCCTCCCCTTCTAGCTGCTTAGGTCTTAGGCGTTTGATTTTTGTTGATCGAAGAAGGAGAATGTTCAGGGGGGTCATTTTTGGTCCTTAGCGGCGGATCATGCTTAGGGGTCTAGGCTCTATTGTGTATTTTCCTCTGATTAGGTCTCTAGTGTTAGCTTCTTTTTTATAGGTTTAGGGTTTTAGGGTTATATTTAGGTTAGGGGGGTATGGGCCTTGGAATTATGGGCTTGAGAATTATGGGCTAGGTCCGAAAATTAAGCTTAAAAATGGGTTGTTTGAGCCCAAATTTTATTCTTTCTCCGAAAAAGACTGAAATACTACCTTATTTACTAATTAATCCTACTTAAATAAAATAACTATTAAAATAACACTAACCGTAAAAACAAACCTATTTTTGGTATTTTTTTTCAAAATTAAAAATGACTACAAAACATTACTGAAACTATTTTTTGTACTTTTTATTTTTTGTGAAGACCCGATTCTAAATCCATACCCGGTATCAGTCTGAATCAGCTGCACCAATTCATGCCCACGCCCATATAGTACAACCTTACAACCCGACACATCACATGTAGGCCCACAGTAATATTTCTGGTCACCATATTCGCCCGAAATCAAATCTAGCACCGGCCATAAGCCTCATATTCGATAGGAACCTGTTTCAAACCTCCACAACACTGGCGATGGTACAATAACCACGAAAGCCATATAACTAAACACGCGGATCACCAAACCTCAGCTAATACCAACGGGCACACACCCCACAAGCTAAAACGCAAGAAGCACAGAACGAAAATGACTGAATATGGAAAAGGAAACACATAAGGGAACTATCAAACAAGTCAGACAAGCACAGGTTTTCTATCAACGCAAACCTACAAAACAATCTAATGAAAAAGAATTAAAGCATATAAAAAGAATCACAAGGATCTTATACTGATATAACTCTCGTTGCGGTACACAGCCCGGTCTCAACATATCAATTCATATGAAATCACGAAGGTCCCGCCCTCAAATCTGAATCACAAGTAGGGTACACATCAAGCCATATAGAGGCTCTCACTAGATCAATTCCTTCGACAAAATTACAACACGGACTAGCTCCCACACCGGTGGAGCATAAGAAACCACAGCTCGCAACTAAGGATACTCAAAAATCACATCAAACGTACCGAAACGGACAACAGGAATTTTTCTACTAGTCTCATAACTCCCGACAACGGCTAGTAACAGACGATAGACACGGCTATCACTCATAGAACCTCCCAACAGGATAATCACATAAACAGAGTGCAAATCATGAAACACACCCATAAAGGGAGCAACAAAATAGGGGGAACTCATCCCGATAAGCAAGATTGTAATGAACTACGGATGGTGCTCCTTTATAACAAACTGAGGCATACCTGAATGACATCACCTGGCATAGCGACCTTAAGCCTACTATATGAAACACATCAACGGGTTGAGCCTCCCCCTCTTAGGTGCCCTCTACTCACCTGAATACCTCACTGTGACACATCGGTCCGAAGTCTGGGACAATCTCTCACCATGTGGCTAGTATCTCCATACTCAAAGCACCCTCTCTGCTGACGAGGCGGTGGGAACTGTGCGGTACGGGTACTCCGAGACCCATGAACACCTGAGTCACCCTACAAAGCCTGAAGCGCGAACTGAACTGGCTAACCCACAAAACCTCTACCATGACGTACCGTGCCTCCAAAATAAGGACCAGCATATCTCCCCGGTCTGCGAGGTCTCCTCGCCTCCTCAAACTCTCTCTCCTTATCTCGTTTGCCCTCTCTCTCATGACCCCGTCTGTCCTCTCTCTCCCTAGCATGTATACCCTCTATCCTCCTAGCAATGCTCACCACCTGCTGATAAGAAATATCCATCTCCAACTCACAAGCCATGCTAGACCTGATGCTGGGAATAAGTCCCTCAATAAATCGGCGAACCTTCTCGCGAACAGTAGAAACCAGGGCTGGGGCATGTCTAGCCAAGCTGGTTTAACGGACAGCATACTCCGAGATGGTCATAGTACCCTGGCGCAAATGCTCAAACTCAGTGCGCCATGCATCCCTGAGGCTCTGAGGGACAAAATCTCTCAGGAACATATCTGAAAATCGGGTCTAAGTCAGTGAAGTAGCCTCGTCCGGGCTGTCTAACTCATAAGCACGCCACCACTGATAGGCGGCTCCTCGAAGCTGGAAGGCGGTGAAAGAAACCCCACTCGATTCTGATATACCCATGGTACGGAGAATGAGGTAACACTCATCTAGAAATCCTAGAGCGTCCTCCGATGCTAGAACGCTGAATACAAGAGGCTTGTACTTCTTGAACCTCTCAAGCCTCAGTTGCTCCTCCTTGGAAGCTGCTGCCCTGCCCTCGGGCTGATCTCGGACTGCAGGCTGCACAAGAATAATCTCAAGGACCTGCTCGACATGCACTCGCTGTTCAAGAGTGCGGGCGGCGGGAGTCTGTGCTCCTCCCCTGGCCTGGGATGTGGCTGCAGCAAGGGGAAGCAACCCCGCCTGAGCCAAAGTCATGGCTATTTCTGAAAGGTTTCAAACTTTTCAGAAAATGGCTATAAATATGCCTTGATCCCAAAATCTTTCCTTACGAAATTTTCTGAGCTTCTTCTCCTTCTTCTACAAAATTACATTCGAGTGTGGTTTACAACCTTCAAGCAGTTCGCAGTTTCACCGGCGTTTTTGGTACCAAAACACTAGTGAGTTAAATCATTCTATCATGAGAGGATTATATTCCAACACTTCGGGTACTTGAGGGGAATAATTTCCTTAAGGACTCACTGTGCATTCAGTGGGCTCGATTTTATTCCGAAATATATTTACTGATTCTGGTTTCTGACAATCTCAGTTTCTGTCTAATTTTCTATTTTACTTGTTTCTATTTTATGTTACAGAAATTTACTAGTTCGTAATATTATATTATGGTAATATAGATTGCTAACAATCTTAAGGAAATTATTTTTTATATTGTAATATGTATTCTGTTTTTGGAGATTAAAACCTGTGTGGTTTTCTGCTCTTTCTGAATTTTTCTATTTCTGGTTTGAAGATATAAAAATTTCATCGGAGTATTAAAATTCAGAAATGATTTGAAGAACACAAAAACTTCATCGTTTTCTTGTGAAACAGTATTTGAAATTTTTATTTATTAAAACAACACATTAATCATTAATTATAGTACTGTTTACTTTTCTATTTTTTCGCCACTAATTGAACCCTTTTGTTGTTGATAGTGAGAAATGGCAATTGATAATGGAAATTCTTCTGCAACTGTTGCGGCAAAGACGATAACCTCGTTAAGCCGAACTGTTGTACGACCGACCGAAAAACTGGGAAAATTTTCTAGAGCCAACTTCAAAAGATGGCAGCAAAAAGTGTTCTTTTGGCTTACCACACTTGGTATGCAAAAGTTCACCAGTGAAGACACTCCCGTGCCAGCCGCCGACATGCCTGACAATGAAAAATTTATGATTGTTGAGGCGTGGAAACATGCAGATTTTCTTTGCAAATGCTACATCCTAAGTGCTTTAGATGATGACTTGTACAATGTTTACAATGCTATGAATACTTTGAAAGAATTATGGGACGCACTTGAGAAGAAGTATAAGACCAAAGATGCATGCTTGAAAAAGTTTGTGGTTGCCAAGTTTCTAGACTATAAAATGATAGACAGCAAACTTCAAGAGATTCAACTTATTTTTCACGACCTTATGGCTGAAGGTATGGTAGTGAATGAAGCATTTCAAGGGGCTACAATGATTGAAAAGTTGCCTCCTTCGTGGAGAGATTTCAAAAACTACCTAAAGCACAAGAGCAAAGAACTGAAGTTGAAAGATCTTGTGATTCATCTCTAGATTGAGGAAGATAACAAAACAACCGAGAAGAAGTCTCATGGATATTCAAAGATTACGGGAGCTAATATCATTGAGGAGACTGCTCCAAAAAGTAATAAGATGAAGAGGTCTTCTGGACAGACTAAGGAGCAGAACAAGAAAAAATTCAAGGACAACTACTACAATTGCGGAAAAGCTGGTCACAAAGCCCCTAATTGTCGTCTCCCGAAAAAGGACAAGAAAAAGGGACAGGCCAACTTAGTGGAGAAGAATGATGAAATTGATAATCTGTGTGCAATGCTTTTGGAATACAACCAAGGTGGAAATCCGAAAGAGCGGTGGATTGACTCTGGAGCCACTCGATATGTTTGTGATGTTAAAGAAGCATTTGCAACTTACTCTACTGCTGGTCCCGAAGAAGAGCTTTCCATGGAAAATACTACAACAACCAAGATTGAGGGTTATGGGAAGATATTCCTGAAGATGACTACTTGCGAGGTGTTAACGCTCAACAACGTTCTTCATGTTCATACTATTGTTGACACCCAATTTTTCCCTATATATTTTTCAAAATGGCACATATATGCATATGTAAGCATATTCAAGTATTTTATTTTTTTCATAATTTTTGAGGTTTTTTAAATCAATTTATTTCCCTTTTTTATCCATAAAACCCAATAATCATTTCCAAAATTATTAATTTTGGTAATTCATCTATTGGATTTTCATCTTTATGCCAAGAAATAGCTAAGATCATTTTTACATGTTTTTACAATTTTGTTTAGTATTTTTAAAAGCTAATTGCACATAATTGCAATATTAGCCTTTTTAAGATTTAATTGTGTTTTATATTCATAAAATTAAATCCTGTATTTTAAATTGCTAGTTATATGCTATAAATTATTTTAGTGCTTTCAATTTATTTCCAGAAGTTAGTTTCCTATTTTTTATAATTTTAAAAGGGGAAAATTGGCTATTCAAATAATAGCCCAATTACATTTTCAATTTTAGCCTAAATCTGATCCCAAACTAAACCCAATTTCCCGACCCAATTCCTATTCAAACCCGACCCCTAACCCAATTAAACGACCCAACCCGGACCCCCTACCTAACCATTTCAATCCTGGTCGTTGATCATTTAGATCAACGGCCACTATTCGCCCTTTCCATTTTTAAACCTTAAACGACCCCTTACCCTACCTTATTCATCACCAAACGCCGCCCTTGAATCCCTCTTCTCTCAATTCTCTCTGAAACCTCACCTGAACCCTAGCCGCCGCCATCTAATCCCACCCTAATCCACCCTAATCCACCCTAATACCTTCCTAATCCATGGCCCCTCGTGGTCATTTGAGACGTGTATCAGCCTAATAGGGCTCCTGGGTGTTTGTCTCTGTGGTTTCATGGCCAGTCCTCGAAGGAATCTGGTCCAGTCCTTGCTCGACTATTGTTCATGGCCTTTCTCCGGCCATCCATGACCTTTCTCTGGCCATTCATGGCCTTTCAAGGCCGATCCTTGACTTTTTCTGGTTAGATCATTAACTTCCAAAGTCTTTCTCACTTCTTTTGGGTTTTCTGAAACCCTAGCTCTAAGACCTTTCAATTCTCTTTCAGATCTCTTTTAGATCTGTACTTACTAAGAATTCCTTAAGTGTTTTCTCGAAGGTGCTTCAACTTTTCTTTCAAAACGACTCTTCTTTTTTTCGACGATTAGGGTTTCCTTTAAGTTTTTCAAAAGATCTCTTCTCTGACCTTAATATTGTTTGTGATTTTTCTATGTTTAGAACGATTTGCTCATATTGTTCCTCTATATATTTCAGCATGTTAAAAAACCCTAGTTCCTTTTAGTCTTATCCGAGTTCTGAAACTGTTTGTTTAAATGTGTACTTGTTCTTTGTTTCTGACTCTCTTTTCCTTGTTTGACTTGTTTGATTTTGAATTCTTACCATCTCTTAAACCCAACTACTTCTGAAGCCCTAAAATTCATAGAAGTTTTTCTCACTTATTACTATTGTGAGACCTTTACCTGTTTCTGATTTCTCTTATCTGATACTATGTTCTTCTTTACTGTTGATTCTATGTGACTACTTGACCTATTTGACTACTGTGCCTCGAATATTTTCCTTACTGCTGAATCCTAGCTTATATATGCCACCACTGTATGTTCGTGTTATCTCTTTTACCAATGTGTTTGGCCTCGCATGTCTGAAGCTTCTGTTCACTCTATTTATATACTGAAGTTTCTTCCTTGATTGATCTTGATCTGATGACTGATTGCAAAAGCTTTTTCTTTATGAACCCTAATTTCACTCGCTTGTTTAAAATTAATTGATTCCTTTCCCTTTACTGTGATATTTTACCTTGCTGAATCCTTTCCCAAATAAGCCTATTTTGTACTTAGACTTGATTGTTTACTTCATGCTTTTACTGCCCCTTATATGGCAATAATCAATCTGTCCCCAAACTGATTTCTTTCCTTAATTAAACCTGCTACTACCCGTTAAACAATGATTCCTTAATTAAAGGGAATCACTTGTGTTAATTGATTCTGACTTGTGATTGTTTCCATGTTTGTGTTAAGACTTTACTTATTACCCTACTTATCATTCGTTTTCAAAAGCTATAAATACCCACCCCTCTTCTTTTAAAAAACACGAATAACTTGAGTTCAAAACACACACTAACACTTAAAACTCTCTCTTTCTTTTTACTGCTACTTGTGCTATTGCTTTGTCTAGCCGGTTGAAAGCCAAGGCTAGACTGTGGACTCTTGTTTGCTTTACCTTTCTGCACTTTTCTTCTTTACTGGTATGTCCTAGTTTACTCTTTAAGTCTCAACAACAATATGTTTCTTTAAGTTGCTTCAGTTTCTCATTCATGTTTACTACAGCTCATGTTTCTGCACTCCATTTATGTTACTAGCATGCTGAAATATGTTCCCTTTCCCTTTTAGATTAATGTTTCCCTATGTATGTAGTCTGTCAGTCGCTTGTTATGTGATTTGCTGACCTATGAATCCCAAACCCCATATCCCCTCTATGTGTTTGTGTTCCTTTGGTTGGTTTGTGGGCAGGCCAGCATCATCTATTGCTGTGCATGACCAAACCTGCCCCTTTATGGGGTCATATGCTTCATACAATGTATTCCCAAAACCCCTCGACCCTTTGTGTAACTATTGATTCTGTGGATTTTGAGCTCCACTACTACTGTCTGTTTTTCAAATCACCCTTTAATACTTACTATTTCCAACTCAGTTTTAATCAATCTCTGTCCTGCACTTCCACTATATTCTTAGAACCTAGGTTCTGCCCCTCTTGTGTGAGCCTTGCCTTGGGACCCTTGAGCTCGCTCTGAACTTGGACGCATAAGGCCTGGCCCTTCCACACTGCACTCATTTCTGTCTGGTTATGCAAACCTGGGTGTAAGCACTGCCCGGGGTCCCTTGAGACCCTTAGGGAACTTTGACACACCCAGGTATGAGAAAGGCTTTGAACACCATGGGCATCTGAAGTGATTAATTATATAACTCAGATAGGAAGTCAAGATCGGGCTTCTTTTGGTTGTAATTTCTTATTTCTGCACTTCTTTTGTAATTTAAGTATTTGGTCTGTAATAATTTGTAACAAACATTGGGGTTAGCTAGTAAAAAGGGATGGGGCAATTATGCATGTTTTAAGGGTAGATATCCTGCCTATAGGATCTGTTTAATAAATTCTGCATGTTACTTCCACACGTAGACATCATGCTTATAGGATCTAATGGCTATAATCAAACATCATGCCCCCAAGGTTAAAATCAGCTTCGAAATTAGATATCATGCCTATAAGATTTTTATAGAAATCATGCCTATAAGAAATTCGCTGTGATCAAATAAATCCTGCCTACTCCGCCTCATGATCAATTAGACACCATGCCTATAAGATTAAAATCAGCTATAATAGAAAGCATGCCTATAGGATCCAAATCGCTCGTTTAGAATTGTTTACTGTTTTACTACACTCCTAATGAGCAATAGATATCATGCTCCTAGGACATCACTATTACGCCTAGACAAGCCTTAGGTAATAATAATGATAAAATCGAATCCGCCTCTATTTAATTAGCAACCGCTACAACTAGCAGGCAGGCCTGATTCGGACTTCTTATCTGAGCTATATAACGAATCTGGTTCTGACTCAAATCCCCTACCTTAGGATTTTTAAAATTCTGACTTTAACTGTGTTTGAGTCGTGCTGTTTATGTGTATTATTTACGGAGGATTGTATGAGCCTTCTAATTGCTTACATGTTTCCCCTTTGAATGTAGTCCTACGTGTTTTTGTATGTCGCCTTAGCATTTTTACCTTTAAACCTAAGAGTCAGCCTAAATCCACCCTCTTATAAGAATAGTAGTCCTAAAATTCCTCCAGGATTGATAGGAATGGGACGGGTAATAGCACGCACTAGAGTTCGAGACCAATCCGCGCTTTAAATACCTTTACGGGGTGGGAAGGGTAGATATGGATATGATGTCCGGTGCGCTAATACCACGTGTAGCCCCTCTTTTGAGGAGTGATTACCGGGTATTGCATTGATGTGATCCATATTACAAACAAACCTAGGACCCCTTTACATTCATCAGCATGCTTAGTTATAACTCTTTCAAAATTTGTCTTATTTAATCATTTTCAAACACTTGTGTATTTAAAATCCTCTCTTATTTGAGCCTTGTTTGTTTACTTGTTAATTGCACTAATTCACAAAGAACTATCTGGCCGGGAACCACACTAGTGGATCCTGAGGTGTGCCTAACACCTTCCCCTTGGGATAATTTCAAGCCCTTACCCTATCTCTGGTTATCAAACGTAGTTGTAGTTGAACCCTATAGATGCCCTAACGTACCTTAAAATCGTTAGGTGGCGACTCTTCAAAATTGCAAAACCCCTTTCCCAAAAGGAAAGAGTTGTCCCAACCAAAATGTCATAAACCCGATTCCGCGAAGGAAAAAGGGGGCGCGACAACTATTAGGAAAAAATTTGTTTCACCTTCTTTACTTGTTAAGAATGGATTAAAATCTGTATTTGTATATGACAAAGTTGTTGTAAGCAAGAACGAAATTCATGTTGGAAAGGGCTACCTCACAAAGGGCCTTTTCAAACTAAATGTAACGATTGTCGACAGTATTAATAAAAAATTTCAGCTTCTTCTTATTTATTGGAGTCAAATGATTTATGGCATATTTGTTTAGGATATGTCAATTACAAAACCTTGTGGAAGTTAATTAATGTAGAGGTATCGCCTAAATTCGACTGTAATAAATCAAAATGTCAAATATGTGTTGAATCTAAGTTTGTAAAACATCCTTATAAGTATGTTGAAAGGAATTCAAATCCTTTAGACTTAATTCATACTGACATTTATGATATGAATTCAACACCATCTCGAGGTGGAAAAATATTTTATAACTTTTATTGACAATTGTACTCGATATTGTTATATTTATTTGCTGAATAGTAAGGA